AGAAGCTGTCTTTACTCCACTGTATGCTCTTACCACCTTTGTCAAATATTAATTGAGCATATTGCCTTGGGTCCATTTCTGGGCTCTCTGTTCTGTTTCACTGGTCTATATGCCTGTTCTTGTGCCAGTACCAGGCTGTTTTGATTACAGTGGCTTTGTAGTATAACCTGAAATCTGGTAATGTGATCCCTCCTACTTTGTTCTTCTTTTTCAAGATTTCTGTGGCTATTCGAGGTCTTTTTTGGTTCCATATGAATTTTTGAAGTATTTGTTCTAGTTCTGTGAAGTATGTCATTGGTATTTTGATGGGGATTGCATTGAATCTATAAATTGCTTTGGGTAATATGAACATTTTAATGATGTTAATTCTTCCAATTCATGAACAAGGTATGTGCTTCCACTTATTTATATCTTCCTCTATTTCTTTTTTCAATGGCCTGTAGTTTTCTGTGAATAGGTCCTTTATTTCTTTGGCTAAGTTTATTACTAGGTTTCTTAATTTTTTTTGCCATAATGGTAAATGGGATTGTTTTCTTAGTTCCTCTTTCTGTGAGTTCATCATTGGTGTATAAGAATGCCGTTGATTTCTTGATGTTAATTTTGTTTCCTGCTAATTTGCCAAATTCATTTATTAAATCTAATAGATTTTTGATGGAGTCTTTAGGGTTTTCTATGTACAATATCATGTCATCTGCAAATAATGACAGTTTCACTTCCTTCTTTCAAATTTGGATCCCTTTTATGTTCTCTTCATGTCTGATTGCTGTGGCTAAGACTTCCCGTACTATGTTAAATAAGAGTGGCAATAGTGGGCATTCCTGTCTTGTTCCTGTTCTTAAGGGAAATACTTTAAGTTTTTGCCCGTTGAGTATGATGTTAGTTGTAGGTCTTTCATATATGGCCTTTATTATGTAGGTCTTTCATATATGGCCTTTATTATGTCGAGATATGATCCCTCTATTCCCACATTGCTGAGCGTTTTTTATTAGAAATGGATGCTGGATTTTGTCGAATGCTTTTTCAGCATCTATTGATATGATCATGTAGTTGTTATTCTTCATTTTATTTATGTGGCGTGTCATGTTTATTGATTTGCAAATATTGTACCAGCCTTGCATCCCTGGGATGAATCCCACTTGGTCATGGTGAATAATTTTTTTGATGTGTTGCTGGGTTCGATTTACTAGTATTTTGTTCAGGATTTTGGTGTCTATGTTCATCAGGGATATTGGCCTGTAATTTTCTTTCTTTGTAGTGTCTTTTTCTGGTTTTGGGATTAGAATTATGCTGGCCTCATAAAACAAGTTTGGAAGTCTTCCTTCTTCTTGAATTTTTTGAAATAGTTTGAGGAGAATGGGTATTAGTTCTTTGAATGTTCGTTAAAATTCCCCCGTGAAGCCATCCGGGCCTGGGCTTTTGTTTGCTGGGAAAGTCTTGATTACATCTTCAATTTCTTCAGTTGTTATTGGTCTGTTCAAGTTTTCTATCTCTTCCTGGTTCAGTTTTGGGAGACTATGTGTTTCTAGAAATTTGTCCATTTTGTTTAGATTGTCAAATTTGTTGCCGTCTAATTTTTTATAGTATTTGTTAACAATTCTTTGTATTTCTGTGGTGTCAGTTATTATTTCTCCTCTTTCATTTCTGATTTTGTGTATTTGGGTTCTCTCTTTGTTTCTTGGTGAGTCTAGCTAAGGGTCCATCAATCTTGTTTATCTTTTCAAAGAACCAGCTCTTTGTTTCATTGATGCTTTGAATTGTGTTTTGGTCTCCATGTCATTCATTTCTGCTCTGATCTTTACTGTTTCCTTCCTTCTACTTGCTCTGGGGTTTTCTTTCTGTGTGCTTTCTAGTTCTTCAGTTGTGAGGTTAGATAGACTTCCCATTTTGAACTCAGTCTTACTCCAAATGACATTCCCATTCCCACGGACCATGCCGGACAAGGAGTATTTCCTTTGCACCCAGCAGAGGGAGAACGCCTCCATAAAAGCAAGACGTAGTTGTGGGCATGACAGGGAAGGAGAAATAATGTGAATTTGATGTTAGGAGCCCACATGTAAGGGCGAATAATTGTATTCATGGGCAGGCAGGGCTTGGCTGTAAATACATCAGTCCCCACCCTTTAAATCAATGGTCACATCACCTTGGACGCTAGAGCCCGTCTGGCTAAGAGAAGGGATGTCGCTGGGGAAGGACGACACGGGGTGAGGTAAGAGAGGGCAGAACCTCTCACCAGGCGGAGGCTGCGTCCACTGAGCTGGGCGAGGCGTGGCGCTCGGCCCTCAGGTACAGGACCAGGTCTGTGGGAAACCCACGCCCTGTGCCTAAAGGGAGGCCGTCAGGGGGGAGAAGCCAACCTGGAAACTTGAGCCTGGAAGGAATCAGCCATCAAAACATCCTTCACAATGACATGGCTTTGGAGTAAAATATAGATCCCGTGGTTTTCCTGGAGGAGAGGGAGGGGACTCTAAGAGCCACAGATGACGTGTCAGTTCTGTAAGAAACAAAGTGGTGGCTCTGGGGTCGGCTGTTACATCTCAGCAGTCGCTGCATCTCGGCAGCAGGAGGAGGGGACAGGTCCAGCCTGGCCAGGGCTCCCCAAGGTCGACCTTAGTCAGCCTCTGCATCTCAGAACACAGGGTGTCACTGAAGACAGGCCTCTCTGTCTTCCTTCCTTCCTGTCACAGGGAAACCCTCCTCTGTACAGCGCTTGAACTCACCATCCTAAAGTTGATCCACCTGATATTTTTCAATGATTAATATCTTACAGTTGCTTCAATGGCATTATTATCACCCATGGTCTGCCCTCTCTCAAACACTTAAAAGCTTTTCCTTCTATTTTTTTTTGGGGGGGGGGGGCCTATCTTCCTGGCTGATCCTTTTGTTTTGCTTTGCAGTAGAGTCCAAGATAAACAAAGGCGCTGCCCGCGTGGGAGGGGCAGGCTTTAGACCAGGTGTGGACGGGCAGGGGGCAGGAAGGGAGGTCGGGGTGATGGAGGGGAGGAGGTATGTGTGGTACTTTTTATCCTATTTATCCAGCTGATCTATGAATGATTCGCAGAAAATGGATATAAGTGGGGAGCAGATGCTGGAAACCATATCCTGGGCTTCAGAAATGGGGTAATTAACGGGGGGTGCTTTGAAGGAAGAGGTTGTGCACACACATTGACTGGCTAAGCCCCCAGGGAGTTCTCTGCGGATCCTCTGTGGCACTTGGGGTTGTGTCTTGACTGGCGCCACAGTTACTGGAAACATACCCTTTGGCCCTTATGCCAGAAACAAGTCTTTCCTGGTGCTATGAAGGCTCGTTTGCATGTGTGTTATGGTAACTACATTACATCTGTCTCAGGTGCAAGGCCTCTGTATTATTTTAAGCATGCTATATCCAAACAGAGCTGAGTAATTAGCATATGCTTAGTATAAATATCAACTGGTATAATCCCCAACAACAGCATGTACTAGATATATCTCTGTCCCCATTTACAGATGAAATAACTGAGGCCCAAAGTCACACAGGCAGTAAGAGGCAGAGCTGGGCTCCGAACTACGTAATCCAGGCAAATCTCCCATCTCGGGTCTGTAATCACATCCTCCAAGATTGTCTGTTAGTGTGTTTCTGGTCGTGTGAGGCAGCACTCACCAGTTCCAGAGATTAGGATGTGGATATCTTGGGAGGAGGGGCATTATCGGCCCTCCACAGGAGGTTATTGGTGGATTTGATTTAGCAACAACAACCTGGTCCCCTGTAACCGACCAGCCGGTCTGTACTTCTTAGAAAACACCGGGCATTTTCTCTGTGGGTAAAGGCCTGTGTGGCAGCATCCTGGGAAATTCATCCATGACTGAAGGAAGGAGAGAGAACAGGGGAGGCAGTGACCTAGCCAACAGTGAGCGATCTCTCCCTGTTCTGAGTGGACGCGTCCTGTGGGCACAGAGGGCCCGGCCTTGGTTCTGCTATTGGCTTGTCTTTTTTTTTTTTTTTTAATATGTTTTTATTGATTTATTTTAGAGAGGAAGGGAGAGAGAGAAACATCCATCAGCTGCCTCCTGCACATCCCCCACTGGGGATCGAGCCTGCAACCTCGACATGTGCCCTGACTGGGAATTGAACCAGGACCTCTCAGTCCATGGGACAATGCTCAATCCACTGAGCCACACCGGCTGGGCTTGGCTTGTCTCTTTAAAGACTGCAGATATTAGAAATGGGGAATGACTTAAAGGTTCTTCCACACTCATTTTTAGGATTTTTAAAGGAAAGACCAGAACGACATGGTCAGTTTCACACGAAGCGAAGGTTTTATCCAGAGGGCAATTTTGGGGGGCGGAGGGTGCAACCTTGGGAAAGGGTGGGAGACAGTGGGCAGGTGAGAAATGGAAGCAGCGCAGAGCTGGAGCCGAAAGGTCGTGTCCTTGAACTGTAAGAGAGCGGAGCCCTTGCACTGCAGCCAGAGTCAGCCCAGCGATGGGGAAGCGGAGCGGTTCAGTCCAGTTCAGCTTGTGACGATGACTCTGGCCGTCACCTCCTCGGGTCTCTCATGTGGACAGTCAGCCGCCCTATCCTGATGTCCTCGAATACTTGAGGAGCCAGTCCCCTGGCACAGACACCTCTCCTGTCTCTCACCTGCTGCACCCTGGTTAGGCTCCTGTGTCCCCCAAACCCCCGAAGAAGGCAGTGGAACAGACAGTGCGTAGATCCTTCTCAGCTCCCCTTTCTCTAAAGTTCTTCAACCTGTTTTCCTCATTTCAAAATGCAGATGACATGTGAACCCCCAGGCGGGGGAAAGGGTCTGGCAAACTCTCGCCCTGGCCGGCGTGGCTCGGTGGAGAACTCCGAATCGGTGCTTTTCGACAGTTAAAGGCATCCCAGTGCCCCCAACTCACGTTATCTTTCTGCCCAAAACTGTGGCTCCACTAGCTTGTGGGTCTCTAGAAAAGAAAACACAAACTTAAATTATATTCAAATGGTATTCAGTGTTTTCTCTGTTTCACGCTTTTCTTCCCAGATGATAATAAAGACTCATCCAGATGGGGTGCCGGTGCTGTAAAGTGATACAAAGGTAACGGGATCCTCGCTCGGGTGGAGGGTCCACGACTCCCACGCGGGCACCCCAAAGACCCTGCTTGATGCGGGGTGTTTATCCAGCTGGGGCGGGACCGCATCGCCAAGAAATGAGCATCTGGAACTGCTTTGATATCATGCAAAAGGACATGTGGCCTAGCTTTTAAGACCGTTTTTTGCTCCCTTCTCAGAGATGTTGGGCACGGCAGCATCCTCTGAGAGTTCACAGCCACATTCTCCAGAGTTCGGTGCAAAGAAAAGCTTGGGCTGTAGAACTGTCTGAAACGGCATCGCTGATAGATGGGCTCAGTTACACGCGGGCTTTTCATCTCTCCCAGATTCTGTTCCAGAATGTGGGTAATAGAAACAGAATTCTCCATAAAATGAAGGGAAAAAACTTAATGGATGATTTTGCTTCCTTAACTAATTTGTTTGTTATTATACTTCTACTCCACATCTATATACACATACATATATATTTATATATATATGTAAGTTTTACTCCACTGTAATCTAATGTGACATTATGCTTTACAAGAATATTTATTATAAGTACCTTTCATGCTAGTCCAGACTTCATACTTATCATTTTGATGATTGTACAATATTCTGTTGAGGAGATGTACCATCAGTACTTAACCAGTTATTTCCCTGACGCTGGACATTTATTTTATTTTATTTCTATTTACTTTTTTGGTTTGTTTTTAAATTCTGTGAACTGTGTTCTGTGCCTTCTTTGCCCCCTTTTGGGTCTTTTCTTACAAGCTATTTCCAGTGGTAGAACATCTTTATGCCAATTCTATTTTACTTAGATACACATATAGGCTAAAATGAGTAATAAACTCAGAACGTAGCAGGAAGAGAGGAGCAGAGCCTGTGGTAGACATCATTAATAACGGAAGTTAGAGATTCATCAGGTTGTTAATAAATGACGTTGATAGTTAACCTGACGGCTCTTCATTGCTCTCACCCCAGCTATCTCTTCGATCCAGTGCAAGTGCCCTCCCCTGGCTACGTCAACGACGTCAGCAGCTGCAAGTTGGATGAAGAGGACGCTGTGAAATTAAAAGGCAAGCAGAGCATCGAAGCCCTGGTGCATAAGAATGACCTCCAGAGCGAGGGCTTGAAGGGAACTGGGAGCAGAAGCAGGAGAGCTGGCCCGCAGGAGCCTGGCGGGCCTCCGCAGGGACCGCACCCTGGCCGGGGACACTGTGCGGAGAAGACCGGCAGTGCCGTCAATGGCATCGGGCCCACCGCGGCCCTGCAGCCCACCGAGGCTCTGGGGCCCCAGCAGGATGGCGCGGTGTCCTGGGCCGGTACTGTGAACAGCGTGCACCCCACTCAACCCTCCCTCGAAGGAGGGGACGCCGGGGCAATGGACCGGGCGCTGCCCGCCTCGGAGGAGACCCCGGTGGTCCGAAATGGAGACTCCAGAGTCCCTTCCAAGGCAGACCGTCCTGCCACGGACGTACAAGGCCGCATCCCCCAGATACCAGCCCCGGATTACCCTCAGCGCCCGGGCTCAGCTGGAGACAAGGTGGGTCACGAGGAGGAGGAGGATCTTTTCGGGAGCCATCCTGCCGAGGCGCCCCCGGAGGCGACGCGCCCCGGCCCGGGGGAGCAGGGCGCGAACATGCCCTTCGCCAGGAAGAGGAGCTGGGATTCCTTAAACGAGGCTGTGGCCGCGGAAGTCCTGAGCGTCTACTTTAAAGAAGAGGATGCCGCCCAGGCTGTGCCTGTGGCGGAGTCGAGAAACGGGTGGGAGGATGCACAGGGCGGCGCCGGAGACGCGAGTGGGGAGACGGAGGACGAGGACGAGGACGAGGACGAGGACGCGGCGGTGGCGGAAGCCCTGGCTGCTTTAGAAGCGGCTACTGCAGGAGAAGATGTGGACGAGGATTAGGGGGAGGGCTCTGCGTGTGCAACCCAGCCGGTGGGGTGGGGGGCGTTTGGGGGTGATGCCCCCAGACACAGCTGCATCTCCCAGCGCGGGGCAGCCTTACGTTTACAGCCCGCGTCGGTTCCGACGACCCAGTGCTGGCCGCGCCGCCTGTTAACGCTGAGAGCTCCCTGTGGAGATGGCCCATCACTCAGGACAGTAGAACAAAACTCAGAGTGGGCCGTGGTGCCGGTGTCTGGAAATTAAACAGCCTGCTGGGCAACCCCCCACGCTCCCCACAACATCTGGTGCCGGTGATCTTGAGAATGCTCTGCAATCCCAGCGCTCATTCCCAAGAGCACAGACTCACAGACCTTCTGTTGGTCAGCTCTGTATCTTGCCTTTGAAGCCAAGCACTGGACCCGACCTGCGAGAGGTAACTACGCCACTTAAAGTGCCTATTGTGTCGCCAGAGCGTGGCCTGTGATCAGGGACAATCACCCAGGGAACTAATAACTAACCACTCGTTTGACAGCCAGGGGAGCTCAGTGTGTTCCAGTGGGAGCTACACAAATGGTTAGTCATTAGCTGTGATATGAGACACCTTGACTTTCACTTTTTTACATTATTACTTTTTAATCTCCTTTGGGATTGGGGAGGCTGGTCAAATAATTCTTGAAACTGCTTGTGTCATATTTGGGTTTGATGTTGATGAGATTTGGAAAAGCAAAGAGATCGAGAGAGTGCTTGATGCCATTTAATGCCTGATTCTGATTAAAATATAAAACACACGTGGCTGCCTGTATTAACTCAATAGTGCTTCTAATATTCCCAGGCTGGGTGTCAGACCGTTGATGTTCTTTTGTTTTTTTCTATTTAAATAGCTAGGCTTCTCAGTCACACCTGAGGAGGAGACCAGGTTGCTTTGCTGAGAACAGCTTTGGCCCTCGGTCCTTGGTGTCCAAACTCCGGACAACATGATTACCTGTGCCTTATGGCTAAACAAGCCCTCTCTGAGTGTCACCCTTCTAGTTTATACCAACAAGAACAGCCATTCGACATGGCTCCATGGAGAATCAATAGGATGGTCAAGACTAAATGTACAAACATGGAATATGCTGCAGTATGGAGTTTCATAACAAGATCTGAAATCGGAGCTTGGCTTGGTTTCCATGTAACCTTGGACAAGTAATGTATCCCTTCTGTTTGCCCATTTGTTAGGTGAGAGTAAGAATCGTATGTACTTGTAAACATTAAACAAGACTATGCAAGTATTTAGCACAATGCCTGGCACACAGTTAGGCAGGCACTCAGTAAAATAAGTCTTCTTAGTAGAAAACATCCTTTAAATAAATTTTTACATCCTCACAACTAAAAACACTAATACTGTGAAGTATCTATAATGTCATCATGCATTTTGGTAATTATTCAACATAGAACATGATTTCTGAACCTTCCAGCATCCTTAAAGATGGTACCCGAAGAAATGCTTAGCTGGTATAATCACCCTGGCTTGCTTTGGTGACAAGCCATCTCTACATATACAAGCTTACTCAGAACCCTTAAAAGAGAAACTGTTGGCATTGTTAATTGTACTGTAGATGTGTTTGCTATTGTATTTAGAACACCAGATGTTTAATATTTCAGAGCGGTCCCTTCAACAATTTCCAAAGTGTCTCTCTGCTGGGATTAGGTCCAGCTGCATGTGATAAATGACTTATAAAAATAGAGATGTATGCCCTGGCCGGTATTGTTCAGTGGTTAGAGTGTTGGCCCACACACTGAAGGGTCTCGGGTTTGATTCCCAGTGAAGGGCAAGTACCTGGGTTGCAGGTTCCATCCTTGGCCCCGGTTGAGGCTTGTACAGGAAGCAACCAATCTCTCTTTCTCTTTCTCTCCCCCCATCCCTCAATCCCCTCCATTCTCTCTAAAAATCAATGGAAAAAATATCCTCTGGTGAGGATTACCAAAAAAAAATACATATAGATTTATTTACGTCTATGTTAAGAAGAGTGGAGGTAGCATTTGGGGCTACAGAGCATTCTGTGGTATCAGTGACACATGCTCCTTCTACCATCTTGGCTTTTTTCTCAAGATCACTGTGTAGTCCAGAATGGCTGCAGGGGCTCCAGTCATTACGTTTGCTTTCCATGTAGAAAAAAAAAGAATGAAGGGTCAGAAGATCTCATTCCCGCTCTACTAAGACCCTCCCAGAAGTATAATTAAGCCCTTCTACTTATATCTCATTGGTCAGCATCTGGTCACTTGGCCACATCTAGCTGCAAGAAATGCTAATCTTTCCAGCTGTTGCATGGCTTTTCCTAAGAAATTCAGGACTCAGTTACTGAGAAGGAAAAATGGACATTAAGTTTTAGGTGATCAGCTTACAGTCATTGCACATCAGGTCTTCAAAACACAAGAGCCTGGCTGGGATAGAGCCAGTTCGCAAGACGTTAAAATTGAATTTACATTTATATAAGACAGAAGGGGTTTACACCTTTAGTCCAGGGGAAGGAGGACTGGAGAGTTACCGTGATCTCAACTCCCCACTAGATTCTCAAACAGAAGGATAAAAGAAGAAAGTTCAGACGAGAGGGGTGAGGTGAGGTCTTGGTGCAGACAAGTTTCTGTCCCTTCACAGAAACACAATTCTGCCTTTACTATGTCCCTAATTTTACATTTTAGAACTGCTGTAAATATTTCACCATGGCTAACAACTCTCCTTCGTTTTAAAGATTCTTTTTGTGCAAAATAACTGCTTCAAAGGGTTAACAGAGGACCAAGAATTTCGAGTCTGTTTTTTAAGCAATCCTGGCTCCTTCTGTCTTTACCGCAATGTCTAGACTCCACCAAAGGATGTCAGAGGAAAGTAAAAATCCTTAGGTTGAAAAAACTGCAGACTTAGCCTCCTCCACCGGGTTGGCTAGCAGCTGTCGGAGCATCCTGCTGTGTGCAGCGTCCACTTTCTGAGGCCTGGTGCCAGCTCTTATCGGAAAAGGATGCTGACAGTAGTGGCCTTTCCCAGACACTGTGGACAGTTTGAAAGTGCAGACGCACTCCGAGTGGAAGGCACCGGCTGTGAGTGGGAGTGGACACCACGCACGGTTCATGGTCTTTGCCAATTGCACCAACTGAATATACCATGTTAAATCTTGGGGGGTGTTTTTTTTATATGTTTTTATTGATTTTTTTTTTTTTTTTGAGAGCGAGAGGGAGAGGGAAAGAGAAACATCGATGAGAGAGAACATCGACTGGCCGCCTCCTGCACGCCCCCTACTGGGGATCAAACCCATAACCTGGGCATGTGCCCTGACCGGGAATCAAACTGGTGACCTCTTGGCGCATGCTCAACCACTGAGCCACACTGGCTGGGCAATCTTGATTTTGATTTAAGATTTTTTTTTTCCTATATTATATATGGGTTTCTTGGGCTAAGAAGGTATATTTCACTTTTTACTGGAGGATATGAAAGTAACTTCCTTTCCCTGGTTTCCAAGGCAGACAGTAGCAAATCGTTCTGTCAAACCGGATCCCCCAAAGAAGGAAGGAAATTTGAGTTCCTCAGCGCCCGCCCCTTCGTTGGGCATGGCAGTTGTCGGCCAGTCACCTTTCCCTCTTCCGCCTCACTCTGCCTCTGGTGCAAAGGGTGAGATTCTCTCTCCTCTTCCTGACTCCTCCATCAGCACGTCCAAGCAGGAGGGCCCAGGAGGGATGAAGGAGCCGTCAAACGCAGGTCGGTGAGCAAAGACCCCCGGCTGCCTTCATTTGTCGTCTGTGCGCAGACGCAGGAACGTGGCCTCTGGTCTTGGACTGGGACTTGATTCTTCACCGAGCTGTCTCCTATCTGCACGAGTCTTTATGATAAAAATGCGGGAGTTCTTCCCTTCTGTTTATTTTTGTCGCTCTAGATTAACCCTCATTTATTTTAAAATCTCTATTTTGGAAGGAGTGATAATTAAACAGACAAGCTGACATTTGTTTTTCATAGTAAAAACTCTCCCTGTTAATTTAAGGACAAAGTTGCTCCTTTATTGACTAACTTTGTAAGTTTCTCGAGGGCATCAGGTTACAGTGGACATACCTAAACTGCCCAGATCCGAGTGAGCCATACACTTAGAATGTGAACAAGCGTGAAAATGCACACCCCAACACCAATTCACCCTCACCTTGCCCTTTCAGCCTGGTTTTTAGGGGGCTTCTGTATTTCCTGCTTTTAAGTACTTTTGGAATAGTTCATATAATATGAGGGGAAAATATGAGCAAGAGGACAGAAGGTAGACAAAGAATTTTACTTACCTCCCTTATCAAAACGACACGTTCCAAACTAATATAAGTGAGATCGTTGGTGAAGAGGCTGATGGGAATATTTGTTTAGTCTGGATCTTGCTATTTTGAAAGCAAAACCATAAAATTTTCTTTTGACATCAGTTACCAACCCTTTAAAAAATCCCACAAAAATAATTGCATTTCCAGGATGAAAAATATTGTCATCCTTTTTCATTCTCCAAAATAGTCCTAAGGCTATGGAGACTGGTGTGCTTGACCCTTGGTACCTATATAAACAAGGAGGGTTTCACAGGTCAAAGAGGGTGGATGGTCTCATTAACATTAATTCTGTGTCTTAAATGTTGATGCTTTAAACAAAAAACATCAAAAGTTTTAAATGACCCATTTATGAAGCCGTAAGATCATAGGCTCTAAGATTTCCATGACATCAGCCATGAGCCAAGAAACAAACCAAGGACTGTTACATAATTTAAAATAAAAGTTACAAGGGAAAAATTATAATCAGAAAAACATCTGCAAAGACATTATTTAAAACTACTTTGCCAAATAATACAATAACTGATAGAGAAATCTTATCCAGTAATAATTTCTGGGAGTCACCAAGTTATAGCTTTTGGTTTCTGATAGTGCAAAGGTCGCATGTTTTTTTTGTTGTTTTTTTTTTAAACTACCAGTTGTTAAGCATTGAGTACAATGCATCATGTCACTAGGTCCACCATGACGCCGTGAGTTATGGT